TTTAAAAAAATTGTATGGTTTGTTCCAAATATTAAATTGCTTAATAATAATATTTGTTATAATGATAATATTTATTATTTATAATTAAACTTTTATTCTTCTTTTATGAACCAGTGTCCAGTTAATGTAATCAATGTATCAAGTTATAAATGTTGAAGTTTCTTATTGGCAATAGACCATCATATCGATTTTGGGAAAGTAAAATCATTTTTCAGTAATTCCTAATTAGTTTGAAACATGTTATTTTGTAATATTAATTCCAATTATTTCGAATCTTTTTATCAATAATTCGCCATTTCCTCGAATACTGATCAAATTTAATAACAATAGGTACAAATAATTTATTATTATTTTCATTATAGTTTATTAGTTAATGAAAATTTCGGGGGAAAAAAGAAATTGCAAGACTGCAAGAGCATTGCAATGATTGTCTTGTTTTGGTCTTGGTCTTGCTGCTTCGATATTAGTTTGGTCTTGTTCTTGCAAGCCTAATCTTGGTCTTGGTCTTGCTAGGCCAGTACCATCTTGGTCTTGGTCTTGCAACAAGAGTCTTGCGAGACCCCAAGACCAAGACCAATTTTGATCACCACTAATTTTGAGTTCAAATTTGGACGAAATTGGATATTTAAACGAAAAATAGTTGTTTGTTGTCATTTAAAAATAATATTCGTGAGTACTCGACATTTTTAAATACTCATCACGTATATGTATTATACATGCGGTTAACTGTGGCTCGTCTATCGTATAATATAATATTATTATATAGCATCAATACCATTTGTTGGTACAATGTACATAATATTATATCGTATATAACAAGCAATTGTTCGACGGAAGAGTTCCTTTGGAAATGGATTCACTGCGAATTACCGGGTCAGGGGATGGGTGTGCTCTGCGTACAACAGTCTGAGGGCAAATATTTAAAGCGGCGGTGGAGGACTGCTGCAGCCCGCAGCGGTCCGTTATTAATATAACCTTTGGCCTCCACTGCCAATCTGCTCCTCTCATCGGCAATATACTATCATATACGTATAATAATGTATAGCTATATAGTAATATTATAATAATAAGTCAAACCATTCCGATTCTCGCGCGACTTCGTGTTCAAATGATGCAATAGTGATGATATCGCCCGGACCAGAGGGCAATGATATCGCGGCCATTGCAGCATAATAATGCAGTAAAACACAACACGTGTGCCTACATAAATGTATAATGCGCCAACTCAATTCAATAATAACGATCGGTAGGTACCCTCCAGACGTTAATGGGTTATTTGCATGTGCTTATTTATTATTTATATTGTTCTTGTTAATCTTCTTTTATATTATTTAATAATTTAAGTTTTTAACATCTTAATTTCATCGTAAACTATTATTTTTTTTGTATTATAAAATATATTTGAAAAAAATATATACATCTCTACCTAGATAGTGTATTTAACAGTACACATTTATAAAATAACTAATAATAATAAAATAATAGTTTATGTTAGTATGAACGAAAGTTTATGACTTTGTTACTCTTTCACGTAAAAATAACTGGACCGATCTTGATGAAATTGTTACACTGTGTGTATTTTGATCCAACTTAAAACATAGGCTAATTTAAAAAGGTAGAGGACCAATCCCGGGAGGTGCTCAAACGGGAATTTTGAGATTTCAGATGGAAATTGTTGTTTGTAAATGGTTGCCATGGTTATATAAATAATAATAATGATAAAAAAAAAAATTATTTTATTTAATTTTTAAATATTTTTTTTTTTTATTTGCAAATAAGTAATATACAATCTGTACCAAATGACACAATAAGCATATAGGCTCAGAGTAAAAATATGACATGATAAAAATTGAAGAAAGAAGCCACCCATTGGCGACACTTTCACAGGAGAGTTTACAAGTTAGTTAATTAAATTTTTAAATACAAATTATATTTAATGGGATTAAATAAATTGATTATTTTAATCAACAGTAGGCGGAATTGAGTAAAAACGACAAACTTGGTATAACTTTGATACTTTAGAGTTAAATCATACACTTCCGTACAAACAGCACGGGGTCCGCGATCTACCGCAGGTAGATTTCCTACCTGATAATGTACTGCTGCGATTCAGAATTTTTATTCCGGGCAACGGAAAAGATAAGATAAATTTTGAACACCATACACCGAATATTGAATAACAAATTGAACAAAGTTTGAGACATATTGAGTTGATACATTTAACGGGCGACGAAGTGCACGGGATCAGCTAGTAGAAATATATAATAGTTACTACTTGCTAACGCAAAGTGTGATTTGGTTGTTGTGTTGAAGACAGCTTAGCAAAAACACTGGCAAAAACCAGACGGCTCCAAATGCGGTTGTTGGAATATCTCTTGTACTCGACATTTTTTGTCAGTCAAATAAGGCCAACACCAGATTTTTGAAGAAAATTTGAGTTGTTTGATTTTTTCACGGACACTTTTAAATGTTTTCGCGACTTCGCGTATTTGTTTATTATTTTGTTTTCTAGGTGTGAATTATATGATAACGCACAAGTAATGAATAATTATAATTTATTAAAAATCCCAGAATAGTTTTATAAACATTGACCTAATATAATAGGTCAGTGGTTGTTACCATAAAACATTAAAATATAAATATCATTGATTAATCAATCGTATTTTTCCCTCTTGACATATGGCTGGCCAACTTCAATATACTCATCAAGTCGGGTATCTAGTTGTTTTATATACCTATGGCAGTTGTGTCGCTGAACGCGATAAGGCACAAATATAAGTAGGACTATAAGTGGATGTCGGTAAAATAGTGGTTTATGATTTTTGCGCCTCCTTATAAACTCACCTCGCGGGGCCGATCGATCGATTTCTCTCGTAGGTATTACCGTATTGACGACACGAGCACTCTGTATGATACACGGAGCACATTTTTGCAGGGTGGTCAGCGATTTTCCGCTGTGGCTATATCATTATATAGGTAGGTCTTTGCTAATGATTGCGTGAAACGACTGTTGCAGTAAAAGTAATAATATAGAAGTTCGCAAATAATAGTATAATAATAATAGTACACTTATTTAAAACAAAACTGAAAGTGTACCATTTTGTGTCGGAATTTTTTTTCAGCCCACGTCGGCCGCATGTATACAAGCCAACAAAATAATGTTTATGCTGTATATATGTGTAATATTATACTGGACTGACATGACGTTGAAAAAAATATCTATTATTTTATTATATATTTACTGTCCATTGTATAGAGTGCAGATATAAAAATCCTCACGGAAGGTCACGATCTTTTTTAGAACCCTTAAGGACACATTCATTATTAACTAGTGTACGACCATAATAGGTCTCAAACTGTTTTCGGTATAATAAAAAAAAAAATTTGGAATTTCCTTTATTACTTCCTATTTAGAAAACGATAATCGATTGTTTATTGGAAATAGATGCTTTTGATTTATAATTGAACCTTATTATAGGCTTAGATTTAAAATATCGTCGTATTTCCTAATTTAAAACTCGTTTATGTTTGATTTTGAACCGTATACGTTTAATGTCGAAAAGTCGCAGTGCGTTTTAAGGAGTGAGGGTGTGTACGTGACTTTTGACCCCCATCGTTATTATCATTGTTTCATCGTATGATGTCCTATTCAAATCTCTATTCAAAATGGCGGTGGCAATTATTTCACGCGTGTGTATGGAGTAAACCAATTTGGTCGAATGCGCCAAAAATTTCAGTTAATCAATTATAATATATTATTATGTTTTATTCCAGCTCTTTTGTTTTCATTCGTTTTAAATCTCATTGAAAATTCATAATTTATAATCATTTCGAAAACGCAATAATGCGTGTACATGGCATGTGCGCGTATAATATATATATATCATAATATATGTGTATAAATATATTTTGGCTTTACCCGCCAACTGATTGCAATATTATATACATGGCTGCTTCTAGTCGAATAAAATGTTTTTGTTCATAAAGAGACGTATAAATCGTCATCAACTATTTGAGTATACCATAACAATTAATATCGGAAGTCATAATACATATTATTTAATATTTAAATTATATTATAGTTGAAAGTGCAGTGTGACCAGTGAATGGATTCATTTTCAAAATTGTTTTTTTACTTATAAAGATTTTAATATGTTTCCTAAGTTATACTACGGGGTGATTCACTATAGGCTAAGTTTCCAAAATGTTGTCCTTATTTTGTTCAAATTGTTATTTTTGAATTTTTAAAAATTCATACATACCTACCAACTACATCAAGAAGGTACTTAAAGTTTATATGCCCTTAAGGCCTGTTGCTATACCATTTTTTTTTTCTAATGTAAACCCCTATTTTAACTTTACATTGCAGATGATTTATTTGAAAATGTTGATTGTAGGTTTTGAGTTATTTAACTGCATGTACTAAGCATAAAATATAAAAATCCACGATAACATAAAAGATATATTAACATTAAAGATATATTGCTATAATGATTGGAAAATTATACTTATTATTATTTTATTTTTAATCATCTTACAATTATTGGTACATTTGTGAAAAATGTGCAAATGTAATTAGACTAAATATAGAATTTAGTTATGTTTTTTTTTCATGCAAAAGGAAAACCATTATTAATTGTTAAAAACTATCATCTTTAACACATAAAGTTTAATAATTTAAAACTACTCATTAGAATTTTGATTTATATGCATACCTTAACATAATAATATAGACTTGCTGTCAAATATACCCAATAATATATGAAAACTTATAATATAACAGTCTAGTATACCTAATGGTGTATTATGATTTTAAACTATAAATCATTGGACTCTTTTCATTTTAATGTTGGACACCACATGGTAAAAAATTGTCCATTTTAAGACATTTAAAATGGTCTTGCCGTGTTTTAAAAACTTAAAGTTTATTTGCTACCTATTTAAATACATCTATCTGTTGGACAGCTTGCAGTCAGCCTAATTTTTATTTTTATTTCCAGGTGGACTTTGGTACTGTCTTCCGTTTATCTTCATCGACAGAACCATTGAAAGTCATCACTCTAGAAGTCAGTGGTCCAGATCTATTACGAGTATCTGTAAACACGAGGCAGTCGAATAGATCAGTGCTGATCGCTGCGGTTTTAGCCGATGGAATTACTCATCAGCTAGGATTGGGGTAAGTTCACTGAATTGTAATTATTTGATTTGCATATTGTTTATTCTTGTAATTTTTTTAGTGAATAACCAGTAACCACTGTCCGCTGTGTGTCCAATCCTCCCCTTTTCAAAATAAGTTTCACTAGTAAAAATACCTCCTTCCCCTAACACAGTGACCTCTCCAGGTACTCCAATAACAGTTGGATTGATATACCTAAACTACCTATTCATGATAGAAATAACTACTTCTTCTTAGAATACTAAATTATAATAGTATTGGAAAAGTTGTATAGATATACTACAGATAAAAAGCCAGTTTATTGGATTTTACAGAATATTTTTTTTTAATACCATATTTACAAGTTATAACTATGAAAGTCAGATCTATTACCATAAAGTCGATACGTTCGAGTTCAGTATACATACTACTATATACCTAATCATAAATTATTTTCTAGTGCATAGCATAATGTTAATCATTTTAGATATTTCATAATCATTTTAGTAAATTAGATATAATATATTAAAGTATACCTATAGATCGTGTTGAAAACTGAAACCAGAAAGGACTTAAAGAAGAAAATATTAACTTTATTAACTAAGAAAAATTGCTTATTGAGGAAATAATTTAGTTTTTATTGGGATTTTGTTATTCTACATTTACTTTTATAGTTTTATCAAAGACATTTAGATTTGTTTTTATTTCATCCATATCAGCCAATAGTATTGTTATTATTATCATTCAAAAAAATACTAAAAAAATTATTTATTCAATTTTATAATATAAAATTATTTGTAGATTTCAAGAAGATGAAATCATAGCGTATTTGGATTGTAGATGGGTTACGACTGAGACGCTTATGCAAAATTCGTATGCCTCATCTCCAGAATATTATGACATGGACGTCTTCGAGGAATCGTTAACGGTATGTTTCATATTTTATAAATATTAGATACCATTTTTTATATATTATAAGACTCATAAATTATGTTCTTAAATATTAAACCAATATTACTTCAAGTAATAATAAAATAATCTTTTCTTTAAATATTTATTTAAAATATTTAATACTTAAAAACCACAACAATTGTTTGCTCTTATAAAATATGAGTATTTTTTATATATTTTATCAAACAGTTATAAAAGTTTGTTAATGTAGGTATTGTTATATTATTTTTTGAAATGCTTAATTTAAGCCAAACGTACATTGATTTATAACATAATGCATGACAATAAATTGATACTATTTTTTAAATCTTAATAGGCTCTGTAACACTAAACAAAACCTGTATTTAAGAAGTTACTTGGAAAGGCTAATAAATGAGCTACATTTGTTAATCAAATACTTTAATCTCAGATTTAAATCGGTTTTTGGATTTGAATTAATTGACATACTTAATCCAGTAGAATAGATTTCGCAAATGGTGTTAAAATGTCGTTTTGAACAAAACGAAGAAACTCATAACTATGTACATGGTACATATTATTTTTTATGACTCTTTTAAGATTTAAACTTGGAAATAAACTACATTACTGTTGTAATCATATTTCGTATTGCGAACGGCGAAAAGCGTATAGTCCTTGTATTGTTTGCCTTGTGTATTATTCAATTTCAAAAAGCGAACATCGATTAAAACATTTTTTTAAGTATTAAAATTAATTGAACAAAGCCAAATTCAACTACCAATGGTATAGTTATTATCTTGAAGCGTGAAACTATTAAATTAATATGCAGCAAGATGGTTATTCGGGACCAATTGGATTGCAGTTATATAAAACTACTGATAACCTCTTCTTTCCCGGTGACACTTCAAAATATCCTGGTAAAAATATCCACTACGAATTTCCCTCGTAATTATTCATTTTCTATTTAAATTAATATTTACTGAATATAAAAAATGAATTGAGACATATTTTAAGATGGTATGTTTTTCGTCAAAAATGATTACACTTATTATTATACTATAAGTTACATAAAGATATTAATAAATTTATATAATACAAAAAATTAATTAAAACATTTGTTCGACTAAGCCCAACAGTTGAAGGTAACCTAGCTGCAATTGGCATAGATGACTGAGAAAATGCCTCGCTTATAATATTTCTTGTTGTCTGATTAGAATCACTAGCACATAATAATTGCGACAATACCTATGACAACATAATATTATTATATCCAGGCCTATTGAGAATAATCGTACGAGCAGTATTCGTTTTACAATATTGTCATCAATTTGCAATTTAAGTAATATTACTTAAAAATCTGGTAAAACAGTAACATATCCAGATCCACATTCGTGGCTCGAGCTAAGTAAAAAAAAAAAATATCTGTACGACCGTGTGTGTATACTGTATATTATATCGAAGCAGGAGTTGCCCATATTTTAAACTGACTAAAATTATGGTTAATTTGTTCAGTGACATAACTAATTTTCTAATGCATCAATGAACTCCTAGTCCACGTCCTAAAATTTAATCATAAATTAACAAACCTTATTCGTCGTCTGTGGTTGTGAAACATCTTGTCAAACAATTTTTTTCTGTTATACTCAGTGCAACGCCAAATTATTTTTTCTTCACTCTTTCGGTGTATACTGAATAAATATCCTCCAAACATTGTAAATTATTGCCTTTTTGGCTTTTGATAAATTCTAGCATTTTTTAATTAAATAACTAGTGTTAGTTAAATAATTTGATTTAAGACTGTTAAATGCTCACGATAAGCACTGTAGGTAATGATATAAAATGACACACTATAATATCATTATCAAAACAACGAATAATACTATATTAGATAAAGTGCGATTATTACTTCTAATCGCAACAGTTATTATATAATATTTTGTCGGGGATATTTTGTCATGGAATATTTTTGAGGGGATATTATGGTTTAGGGATATTTGGTAGGGGATATTTTGACCATGATATTTTGTCGTGAAACTGACTTAAATGACGTTCAGTCGTTGTACGTTGGTACTCACTTCTATCATACATTGATCTTTTTTTTTCACAAATCACACTTTTAAAATACCATTTAAATAAACGTATGGGTATAACAGTGGCTTATCGAAAAAGTTTAAATGTTTATCATTAATAAAAATTGCGTTTGTTGGTCCATTCTTTTGGTATCTATACAGAATAAAAGTTTAAAAATATTTAGACTAATTTAGAAATAGGAATTTCCGAGTTTTTTAGATTTATGTTTATAACATTTTTGTTTTTTGATCGAAAAGCTTGACATTATAATACTAATAGTTCCTCATAACTCTTAAGTTTTCTTTGTACCATGAACGTCTCCTTCTCTGAGAATCGTTTTTTCATAACTAATTATTTACCACATCAAATTTAAATTTAACAAATCTGGAATGGCACTATAACATAGCCTATTTAATGCCAAAGTTAAATAAACATCAGAGCCAGGGGCTTACCCAAAGGGTTTTTTTTTTTTGGGGGGGGGGGGGGGTGTATTGTCTGGATCTAGACTTGATTGTCAAGATTTGAACTTTAAATGCTGATAAAAAAACTGTGACTAAGGATTTTTAATATTTTTCAAATATCAATGTAACAATATAGTAAGAGCCTTGTATTAAATTTTCAAGTATTTTTACTCAATAAATACAATTTTTATTGATATTCATAAAAAAAAAAACTAATAAAATTGGAAACTGCAAATGTCCCTAAACAGTTCAAAATATTTTGAAAATGTTATTGTGTATTGAAAATGCAAATATAAATAATCAGTGAAAATTTCATGTATTTACGGTTATTTGTTTTAAAGTTACACCAAAAAGCAAATTCGATTTAAAAATCAATTTTGAGCAAAAATTCCCGTTTTTCCTTAATTTTTCTTTTGTTTTTCTTGGCGATTTTGAAAATTATTAGGAATTTTAAATTTTGACCTCCTCAATGCACTAACAATATTCACTTTCCAATCAAACAAGATACTGAAGTTGAAAATCGAAGCATTATTTCGACTACTTATCGTGTACACAGACACAAAAAAAAAAAAAAAAACACATCATTGTAAAATCAATACATTCAGAATCACTCAGAATCTAAAATCTGTATAGCATTATGAAGTTGGGTCATTGGACCGGGGGGGTCCTTCTATAATGCTGACTAGACCTGTATACTTATACCCTTCCCATATTATATATTGTTCTTGTTAGTTGTTTGTTCTAATAAAAATAAAAATAAAATGCTTGTTACAAGAACCTCTGCAGATGATACCTTCCATTGTTTTTATTTTATCGTATTATTCTGGTTACTATTATATTATAAATATGATTTGATATACTTTTTAAAAATCAATAGAGATTTTACTGACATACATAAAGCAGTATAATGTATGAAACATTAGAATTATTCAGTGCATTTAAGATTTTCAAAGCAGTTAAGTGCTCACCGTTAACATCACATCGTATACAATATTTTACTATCATACAATACTGTTATTATACGTTTTAATTGGGTAGAATGGAAACATGTTTTTTAAAAATATATGACATGACTTGGACGGCCCGGGAACGATCGATAATATCGGCCGTGATGCCGGATCATGTAATTACACCGTCCGATCTGTATTATGTGTGTATTTATAGGTATTAGCTATTCGGTAGAGGTGGACCGGTTCGCCGAGCAAGACTATCGAATGCTACTTTTTTGGTGCTGTGTGTATGTGTGTATATATGTGGTGTGTGTGCTCAAATTAATAATAACAAATAATAACACGGTTTATCATCTGTGGCATTGCTGTATTAATGATAAAATTACGAAATAGATAGTATATATGCACAGCAACACAATAATAAAATAATAATAATAATCAGCACATGGGCTTTGACATTAGACAGATCAGTTTAATAATATATATACAAAAACTCACAAATTTGTCGATGTTCTGCTGGCCAGCTGCACCCTATGCTATATAATAGTAATGTATAATAAAATAATAATAAACACTGGCGATATGCGTCTCGACAATAATAATAATTTTGGCGATTCGCCCCTGCACATTAATAATATAAAAAATAACAACAAAACACTGGCGATTCGCGCCATACAATAACTTACAATATGTAGCGATTCGCGAACACGATATTGTAATGCTTTGAGCGCGACCGGTACACGAGAAAAATAATAGGTGTATCCGTTGACACCTGTTCGCGAAAACTAAAACTGGAGCCGGCCGTAATATCAGGTTATAATTGTGCAGCCAATGCTGCGGCATGAGATAACGCGCTTATTATCTACATATTATGCGTTTATATATTATATAATAATTCACACGAGTCAAAATTAACATAAAGAAATAAACGGTATACGCGTGTGTTCGTGTGTGTGTGTGGGTGGGTGGTGGCGTGGTGAATAATAATGTGTCGAACTCATCCAGGTGCAAACATGACGTATCTTAAATTGAATACCTATTCAAATATTTGTGTTTGTGTGTGTGTGTGTGTGTGTGTGTGTGTGTGTGTGTGCATAAACGTAAAATCAGTAATAATTACAATATTATATTATCAATGGTTAAATTAAATAACCCATCATTTCGGATGGATCACATTCACGCTACATATTATTATAACTATCTATGTATAATAATATTATGTATGAAATCGTGATTATATATGATCCACATCACAGAATGATACACACAATAATAGATGAATATGTCTACAATATGTAGACATTATAATGACGAATCTGTCTATTATTATTATTATTATAATCACTATTATTAATCCGAAAGGATCTGTCCTTAACTGTCGTATACATAGCTTCCGGTGTGTAGTCTGGTTTACGGTGGATATAAATAATAGTATATTAATTGGATTTCATCGTTATTGGGGTGTGTTTCGCAGGCGGACTTGGTGCAAATGATCGTCGTTCCGGACCCAACAGCCGTTTCAGACCAGTGCACCGTGTTTCGGATAGCCGTGTTGGACACGGAGATTGTCAAAACCAAAATAAGGTCAGTATAGTATTATTATTATATTATATAATGATAGTTATAATAATAGTGAATATTCGAAATAAATCCGCCAATATTTATGTATTCATTAAGATCTGCAGAGAAACCACCCCTATTATAATAGTATAATACGTATATATGTATATATATTATGACCAGACTTATTTGTTTTCCGATCGTATAAGTATAGACATAATGTTGTATTATAAACGACAGCGCAGGAGTGGTCGATTGGCCAATGGACCTCGGTTGAACAATGAGTATTTTTTCCTCGAAAAAAATATATCCTTCAATTAAATTTATTCTTTACAGCTTCAATGGTAGAAATGAATAAACCAATTACGTTTCAGACATCTATTATGAAATATTATATTAAGGTACCTATTAACTTGGTAGTTCGCACAAAAGGAATTGAAAAATAATAATATGTTCATTATTCAAATTATTATTTGCAGCAGTCTCTTGGGTTTTTAAACGGTAACTCATCTTGAAAAATATTCAAACAACGTGTTTTCTCTAGGTAATTATTAAAGAGAAATTTGTAAACTGTAATATTGATTAGCAGTATTTGTTTTATCTATCGACAATATTAAGTACACATCGTTTAAATTATTTCCTACATTCTCAAAACGTAGTTTGGTATCGGTTTGGTCGAAATTGTTTGACTTTGGTTTTGAAATATTTATTTCTAAACACAAGTCTAAATAGCACTCGTATGTTCATCCTTTTGCATGAAAATAGTATAAAGCGTGAAGCAAAACTGATTCAATAAATTTGACTTCACAATTTGATCGTTCTTGACCCAACATTATAACTACGAAATTAGAACAAACCAACGTGTGACTTAAGTAACTATATAACTTGTTATTTTGATGCTATACTGATTTCTGTAAAATATATTATAAATACTTTCATTATGGTATACTTGAAAGTATAATGTTTTCGCAGAATAATTTGCATTATGCTAATTTATCAATTGAATATTGTTTACCTTTTGTTTTAAATACTCGACAATATTGTATTCACTTGGTTTAAAAAAAATATTAATACTTTTACTAATTAATAGTGACAAAACAGAGATCAAATATTTAATATATGTATTTCTTGTCTGCGCCGCTTACAAAATTTTAATTATTTTACCTGTGTACGAATGGAACCAATGAAATCATTTGCTATACCTCCCCATACTTGAGAGTGGAGTTCCACATGACCAGATTGGTTTTATTATGGATTTGTAGATTGTGAATTTACAGGTAGTTGGTCAATTAGATCGGACGAAACAGTGTGAGTCTGTAATTTTCTGATTTTTGATAAGATTTAAGACAATGAGCCCAGGTGCTTGTCAAACATTTAGACTAGCTATGTATTTTACACTGGATATGGTAGGAATTATTTCAATGTTTATAGCTTGACTTTTTTCATAATTATGACTAATTTTTTTAAAAACGTTTAATAAGTAAGGTCACTGGCATTTTAAATCAGACAGCATTTATGATAATATGTAGGTATTTGAATTTCTATCCTACAAATTTTTTAGTCACATTCACAAAAATCGAAGCCAATCATATGTGTATTATGCATAATTGCGTAACAATAAAATTCAACTTTATTAATTTCGATGATGGCATAGTACCCTTACATAATATTATATTATAATTATTATTTATTAGATTCAATGTCAGTAGGCACCGTCTTCAATTCGATTGATCAAATTTCATTATTTTTTTTAAAAACCCACATTTGTTAATAATCCCCTAGGATACACCTTGAATTTATTATTTTATACTGTATTAATGCAATCTTTTAAAGGTTATCGATTTCGTATCTGTAATCATTGCGACCTTCTTAGGTGAGGTGGATAATATTCTCTAAATATTTAAGCACGTTTTAAACAACGTTCTTTTCGTACGCGGTAGTTGTATATAATAAAGGATACTGAAAATTTCAACCGGAAGTACTATGCAATCCCTCAGAGGAAATACCGGATAACGTTTGGACGTGATGCGAGACTAGAAGTATCTAACTAAAAAGTTTTTCATTATTTTTAACAAGAATTTCATTCCAAGAATGATCTTGAAAAAAGAGAAGGAACATAAGTAATTCGATTTATTTCTTATAATAACAATATTATATTATAGTCTGCGAAACAGTAGACTACTAAGTTTTAAAGCAAATTCGTCATTAAATCTGTAGTAGGTACATTAAGTTAAGTGTATAATAATAATATTCGAACAGATCACTGCGATTAAGTATTATTAAAGCTCTGGATTATGGTATTATTATTCAATTTATTATCTTCTGTTATTATATTTTGTGAAGCACATGTGATAAATGTTAGAATCGTCTTTAAATCGCCAATAATTGTATTATCTTGCAATTTAATTTAACACACGACAAACAAAGTACTATTACTCGATTAGCCGTAAAATACAGAAGTTTAATTGGATGAGAGGTTCAAACAGACACCATAGATGTAAAACTTTGACAGTTTCCAATTGAAAGTTTAAGGTGTCAAAATGGCCAAAGGGTAAACTCGTATAACATTTCTCAAAGAGTAGTAATCGGATAACTAGACCATTTTAGGTAAAAATTCCAAGTATTTCTAATAATTAAAAGTTATATATTGTTAAACTTGATACTCAACTTAATGGTAGACCCTCGCTATACTATGAACTACACAAGACTTTCATAATTTTAAGAAATATTTATTCATTCGAGTATATTAAATAATAGAGATATACGTAAAAGTTACAATTTATTATTATTATCAAAAAATAAAATAAAAGACTCAGTATTCTACTTTAATTGACCCTCGGGGCAAACGTTTAGAATTTTAAGAACAATGAAAACTTATTGTATTTTAAAAATGTTTCCGAGCATACCTATTGATTTATAAATTGTCAATATTTGTCTAAAAATTGGTGTTTTTTTAAGTTTTTTTTATCAAAAATCGCAATAAGATATTATTTTAAAATCTGTGAAGTAAATCGATTTTATTATTACAACAGTTATTTTTCTGAAAATATAGTATAAAACAAACACATTGTAAAACCAATATTATAGCTGCTCTCAGACTTAGACTGAATATTGTCAATTTATTGTATTACTGACATGGTAACCAGTCAGAATTAAAACATAATAATTGTGCCTAAACAATGAATTTACTATGGTTGTCTAGAAAACATTTCCAAGTGCATGTATTTTATAGCCCGATGCATAATATTATACTGTAGACAATATTACTATATTTTTTTAAATAAGAACTTCTAATTGGTAGGTTGTACTAGTTAAAATGAAACAGTTTGATAATTTGTGTGTAACACCGTCTATTGTTAAAAAAAAAATGCTTGCCAAGTCAGGGATCGGCATGTAAACTTTCTTGATTTTTAATTTTTAGAAATATATTCAGTTATATAACACCCAAGTGGTATAACAATTTAAATCCAGAAAAATATCGGTGTGAATAGCCCTACAAAAAATTATTTTCATTTTTGTTTAGTGAGATAGATCTCCGAAAACGGAGAGCAGATTTCTTTGTTTGGGGTCTTGTTGGATTCACATTGGTTAGGAGAAGTGCAGTGAAGATTTTCAGAACATTATCTTTAATAGCTGTTAATTCACTACAGAACAATAAAAAAAATTAACACAAATTTTATTAGGCGTTTTTTGATGTTTTTCACCTTTACAGCTTTGTAGTGTATTAACTATTGGAGATAAAGTTCTGAAAATCTTCACTGCACTTCTCCTAACCGATGTGAATCTAACAAGACCCCAAATGTTGAAATTCGTTTTCCAGTTTCGGAAATCAACCTCGCTAAATGAAAATCTAGGAAAAAATAACTCTTGATTTAATTTCATATTTAGTATGTAATTGATAATCCCTTATCAACCAACTTTCTAGCTATCATAGTTTAGGAGAAAAGTTAAATAATATATATTTTGGGACTTTTCACACAGACGTTTTTATGGATTCAAGTGGTTATACCGCTTGGGTGTGATATCAAATCTCTCTAATTAATATTTTATATTAGAGATAGCTAAATTACCCAACTACTCATCATTATTGAGTTACATTTTTATTATTTTCCTATTTAACACAAATTCTTAAAGTTTTCAAAATTCAGACTTTTTTCATTTCAATTACCATACTTACTTGATTAAAAGTCAAGAAAGTAAAATAATATAAATTTCCTAAAGAATTTTCTAAAGATTCTAAACATTACACGTCTTCTCGTGAAATAAAACTTAGTCGAAGCAGTGTACCTGATTTGCCTATTTCAAACGCCGTGTTATCAAAAGTGTATTGTTGAACTGCGTTTACAAAATAATACTTTCATTCTTGCTCACCGTAAAATGGATCCAATAGTGGTGTACTTAATATACCAACTCCGAGACTAAAAAATAATTTAAATTCGTGATAAGCGTACACCGATTAATGAATACACATGAGTCAGTCAAATATATTTGATAAAAACGTGTGTAACGCATTTCTATTGTTAAAAATGAAAGAGAAAATATTAGTAAATAATATAATATTGTAATGATGTAAGAAAAAAATTAAAGAGGTCTTCTTATTATATTTTTCCGTATATTAAATTGTTATATGATGATTATAGTTCATATAACTATTACCATATAATATTAAGTAGTGACCAAACTCCAAATGTTTTTTTTTCATAATATACTGAAAATCAGATAAGGTAATTTAACTTTAATTTCGCCAATGGACAATGAGGTTTTGGTCTTTTAAGCTTAGGTACGTTTTTCGCAGTTCAGTGAATCCCCTGGGCATTCGGAGCGATTATTTATGTAATTATATTTAACGGTTTATGTATAGGCAACTTTATTTTAGGTATTATTACACTATAGGTCACTAGTGCGCGTAAATATTTTTTTTTTAGAGTCGACCATGACTAATGTTTAGTACACCGACTAATGTATGCAGTAAAAGTTGGTCATTTCAATATATTCCTAAATGTACCAATCGATTGAACCTTCGCCGTGAATATAATTCTATAAACTTACACTTACCAACTTTAAAAATATTAATAAGACATTATAATCGAGTACATATACTTATTTGTAGATAAATTATTATGAAACTTAATTATTCAGGTTTTTTTATTTTCATAAAAAGTAACGTATTTAATAATATATTATATTTTAAAACTTTTATAATAAAAATATAATTTATTTATTAGTGACTTTCTATTGTTTTTCTTTTTAATACTGTTAAAATTTTAAAAAGTTTTATAATAATATATACACTATACGCTCTTTATGAGGTTATATGTGCAATATTGCTATTGGTAAAAATGTTATTAAAACAATAAATTTAAAGTGTATTTCAGTTAAAATTATATATTCTCATTGTAAATTCTCTTCAGGATATTAAAGAAATATATTTAAAATAAACGTAACATATCTTTAATTTAAAAATATAATGTAGGTGATTATTTATATTAAATATTCCATACTTTTTCTCATAAATTGTTAAGACATAAATATTAAATATAGTTTATTATTTTTAGTCCATCAACAATATACAACTTCAAGATTTTATAAATTAAATAAAAACTGCTACATAGCAAGTAAAGCTATCATAATGCCAATAACTATTACATTCAATATTGCATATTTTTAAAAGCTAAATGTGTTTTATCTTTTTTAAATTGTAACCACATAAATATGACATGGGCCGTACGATTATTCATTAAGCAACACAAGAAAATTCCATTACTAATGATGCGCTTAAAAATAAATAAATTACAAAAAAACTTAATTATTTTTGTTGTTTGTGTATTGTTATTGAATTAATGAATGAGGTTTTTGTGAACTATTATAATATAAATGAAAATAAAATGCATACGTATTATTATTATGTATTATACACGCAATTATGTATACCATGCACTTATATAGTTTCAGTGGTAGGCGGTGGTTAAAAAGTAATAGAAATATTGTATGGAAAATTTAAATACTAAAATGTTAACTGAAAAAAATGAGTAATGTAGGTTGCTTTGGATGTCTTCATAATTAAAACATTGTGATATTATCTACCACTGTGGGGCTTGAAAAATATTAACATTACAATTTCAAACTACTTGCCAGAAGATAAAATTATTTTAAATATGATTTTGCTAACAATCATTCAAGGGATTTGTTTTAAAAATACCTAGAGTTTCGATGTAGAGTACTAATAATTAATTTTGATACCACTTAACATACAAATTTATTTGAAAGCTAAAATTTCTTCGCTGAGTAAATAATAATTATTATGTTATTAACATTTTATGAAAACTAGAGTGCATCGTTTTATAAATACCTATGAAAACAGCTTTTTTTCTTAAACTATACTCTAAAAGATTTTGTAAGATACAATGTGGTACCTAAACAAATATTTATACAATAACTATTATTATTCAACACAAATAATTCCATTTTCTTTTGTCTTTAAATCACTTAATCTTAATAATTCACAATTTAAGATAAACTTACAGGAAAAAAGAATTTATTGTTTTAATACAAATGTATCACATGACTTATAGTGTTTCATTAATGGATAAATAAATACATATAATGACAAATTATATGATATAATATTAAACAAATTATAGTTTAAAATCTTAAGTATAGCTTAGCAATTTGGTAAAAAAAATTCTAGCTCATCCAACCCAACATCATAAAAAAAGATACTATTTAAAAATGATTATAAAAGTTTTCATAATAATTTTGTGCTCTTAAAATATGTAAATTAAATTTGTAACTTAGGTACTAAAATTTGTTATGGCTTTTGGTTTGGTTAAAATTATATAATTTCAGTAAGAACAAACAATGTAGCTTACACAGTTTTAGAATAATAACAAATTGGTTAAATAGTGAAAGTTAAAAGCCAATATTTTTGTTCTTGTAAATTCATTTTAACATAATATTACAATAATATTGGTGTTAGAAGCTTTGAAGGGAGCTTAATATCCAAATACAAGTTATGTTATAGTATAAGCAGATTATGTAGAAATTTAATAATTACTATGATTGTTTTTTTGCGTTGCATTTTTAATTTGAATTATTTGGATATGTTTAAAATGTTATACAATTTGTGAAGTAAGATTGTAATTGAAATATAATCTTTTCATCAATTTTTTAATTATTTTTATAATTGGTAAAACATCATTCTATTGAAAAAATAATTGTATTTCATTTTAAATGACAAAAATAAAATCGCACAATAAACAGTGTTAATTTGTAAAAAAACATATTTATTAAAATACTGCTTAAGTATTAAACGTTGCAGAATTTAAATGAATAAAAGAAAGCCTTCACTTAATATTTAAATCATATATTAAATATTAGTTTTATTTTTTAGGGATAAGTCTCAACGTGGCACCAATGGAATTATTAACGGTGAACATGAAACCAAAAGAACTATTTCCAAACACTCGGGTAAGTGAAATTTATCAACTACAGCTTATTATCTTTTACAATTACTGCAGCAAACTTCAAACGGAAAATACATTAACTATATATTAATTTAATCATTAACTATATTATTATAACTTTCATTGGTATATGTGACGTGTATGATGTCAATGGGTTGATTTGAATTAAATTGTATCATAAACAATATACGTATTTAATAATATGCTTACTCGTAACAGTAATAAACTACTAAGACATCGTTCCAAACAATTCTTTCAGTTGCTTATTTATGTTAACATGGTATTTGTCTTAACAATAATAAAATAAATAAAAAAATAATTTTTAAAAACATGCTTTTCTTAATACTACTTAATAAATGAACGAAAAAAAAAAAAAAACTTACTTTTAAAACAATTTCTTAATGAAACTTCAAGGTTAACAAGATATTACTAAAAGTGTTTATAAAATGTATTTGTTGAACAATTTTTAAAAATTCTGAATTACAAAAAAAAGAAATGCATGGGGCACTTATAATAACTCCTACGTAAGGGCACTCTACAACTGAATCTTTAGATAAACTTTATTATAAATATTTTAAAGATTATTGATCACACTTCCAATTTTGTAAGAGATATTCCTGACTCATAAGAGCCACGGTTTTAATTGACAGGTCATTTTGTATTGTGTAATTCGAAACAAAGGTTGTAGCATTAGTAATTTTCCTAAGAGCAATATTCTGAAATTATTGAATTTTGTTGTTATTGGACACTTTTATGAAAATAGATAACTTATATACTTATGATAAGTCATACGTAAAGTCACTCTACAACTGAATTTTTATATAAACTTTATGATAAATATTTTAAAGATTATTGATCACACTCACAATTTTGTAAGAGATATTCCTGACTCATAAGAGCCCCATGCATTTCTTTTTTTTGTAATTCAGAATTTTTAAAAATTGTTCAACAAATACATTTTATAAACACTTTTAGTAATATCTTGTTAACCTTGAAGTTTCATTAAGAAATTGTTTTAAAAGTAAGTTTATAATATAAAAGTAAGTATTATATTATATTATAGTTATATTATAGTAAGTTTATTATAATATTTAAATTTGTTTAGTATTTTATTATCTATACGCTTTGTCAATCTCTATGTAGGATTTTCTTACTGTTTTAACAATGAAACGCGTTAAAAGTTAAAAGTAATTATTATTATAATAGTTGTATAACCCATGGAAACCGTTTATAAACAAAATTTCGTACCTGTATATTATTTATTCTTCTTCCTCGGAGATGACTTTGCACACCCGTCATCGCCGACCTGGAAGTCCGGGTCCCAAAATAACAACGGATTATTGTATTGCCTTCCAATACCTATGTCTATACCAATTTTCAGAATTTTTCATCGTAAATAAGTGCCTCAAATCGAGCGCGCAAGATTTGAAGACAACAGGAATGAAACATTGTGAGTTAAAGAAAAGCATGTAATAATATATGATTTTCATCGTATTATGCCTACAGCAAAAAATAAAAAAATAATAAACGAATTTAATAAATTAGATAACTATCTCAATTACTAACAATATGAACCTCAATAAATAACAATAACTATCTTGAAACAATTAAAATATTTTCTGGGTACAAAATATAATATTATCATATATATCAAGTTATGTTAAAATTTGTTTCAAGTGGATTTCCACATTTAAAAGAAAAAAAACCATATACTTAATAAGATTAATATCGCATTGTTGCAGCTTAGTAGATACTTTTAGTAAATTTGTTACACGGGTATTGTTAGAACAAAATATTAAACATAATTTCTAAAGTCTGAGATCACAAATGTTAGACTTAGTTTGTTATTTAATTTTTGTTATCTCGTTTGTATTGTTTACATACAATTTTGAAATGCGATTACACTGAAACATTGAACACGAAAATCCAGAATTAAAACAAGATATTGTGTTGAATAAATAGCCAAATTAAACTTCTAAATGTTGGTACTATACACCCATTGTGGCAATAATACATTATCGATAACAGATTGTAAAAGGTTAACGTTTTTTACGAACAATAGAATTTATAAATTTAAAATATTGTCTTTTGTTGATTTGTTATCTTATGCACAAGCGGTAATCTTAAACACGTAACACCAATTATACTGAATGTTAAATTCATAATATTGCTCATGTTTGAATGTTTGATCCTATACTTGAACATTTAATTTGCACTGTTTATAGTTAATCACCAGATAACTTAATTAAAGAGAATATTTTCAACATTTTACATCAGCCACAGTTTGATGGTTGGTTTCGAAAGGTGTGCAAACTAATTACCAAAATTAACTTGAGTTCCCTGCTAATTAAAATAATTCAACATTTTAAGTTAGGTACGAGAAATAATACATTAACTTAAATTAGTTAAAAAGTATACCATACATTTTTTTAATTATCGCCACTTGGGTCATGCATAGAGATTGTGCAACTTTCAATTTTTTAAAATTGACTAATGGTTTTTATATTCCTTCTTTTTACACACTTGCTGTAGGGGTTTAGGCCACTATGGATTTGTGTCAGTTAAATGATTAAACCAAGTAATATTCATTTGATTATTTTAATTTTAAATAACCATATTATGTACAGCGCAATTAGACAAAAAAAAAATAATTCATTAATTCATTAATTTCATATAGGTACAGTTATAGATATGCATTTACATTATTTTAAATTGACCTATTATTTTTCAAATTAACTATACGCAGTGAGACGTTGTTACAATGGATACTTAAACTAGTTAAACTAGCATTAATACATTTTAACTACCTATAGTTAATATCCCACGTTTTGTGGCTTCCTTTATTTATACGCAGTGTATCGGCATTTGTATTTTTTATTTCACCCGTGTGTACTTATGGTGTCCTCCATTGTGTGTACGAAATCGTGTTGTCTATGGAAAGGGAAACTTAAAATACTAATGTAACGGTAAAACAGATATGCACAATATAAATTATATTCTAAATGTTGTTAAATCTTCTGTTATACAGAGTTTATGGTGTTTACTACGTCAATTTTGTATTGTTACCAAAAGTTGTCTGGGTTAAATGATTTTAAGTTCATTTTTTTACAAAGTTTATAAATGCGCAGAAAAGGATGAACACAATGAACATTTGCAGGAGCGAAATTAAATGTTTGTTTAAACGGTTTGTCCAGGCAGACGCGTATTCATAGATATAAAGGTATATAATAATATATTCCCTCTCTCGTACAGGGCTCAGTGGGCACCTATAAAGGTTTAAGCCGTTTCCACAAAACGTTTTCCACTCGAAAGTTTAATTAATAGCCGTTGCTCTTTGTTCTTGCGTCTTTCAATCAAACGTTTAATTAAACGCTCGTGATTAAATTTATTTGACTTCCCGGCGCGGTAAAGGTAAAAAAGTATCGGAGAAAAGAAAACGAAAAACAAAAAAAAAAAGAATGAAAATACTACAATAATTATAAAAAGGGAAAAAAAGAAGCCCACCTTCTCTCCGTGCCGTAATGCCATATTTAATGTCAACCTAATGAAGGAGTGAGCGAATTCCACCTCTTTATTTTTGGTTATTTTTGTTTCGTCTAACGAGTCGACCCGGCCGTCGTTCTCTTCCTGTCGTAATAATTTCTTATTTTGATAGGAAATGAAACTTTTTTTTACCCCGCGGTTCCGGTCGGTTGTCGTCGTTTTATCCGACAACGCTCCCGCCAGCCAGCCAGCATTATATTATTATACACCTGCAGCAGTACTATATTATATAATATATTATTATACATATACGTGACTATATAGTTTATACCTAAGGTCGTTTCGCCGAAGCGGGAGCCACGCGAAACCCCTAACGATTGTAGCCGTACAACTACGGTCGGGCCGCTCTCACGAACGTCAAGACGTATAATATAATATAATACGTCGTACAGGAAAAGCAGAACATAATATTATATATATATATATAAGTTCTTTTGCCGCACCCGACGGGCGCCACATTATTAAAAACCATAAATCCGGTGCCGCGCATTTCAACAGCCACTCGGCGGCTCCGCGTCTGTCTGTCCGCTTTTAATGGCAATCCTTATATATTCCTTATTATTGTTCCGCCACCTTGAATAATGTACGGTTTAATATTATTATTATGTGTGTGTGTGTGTGTGTGTGTGTGTGTGTGTGTGTGTGTGTGTGCAAACGTTTGAAGCTTGGCGATAACTTTTTAGCAATTTGGCGTATCACGTCCCGTATGATGATATAATATTGTACATTTTTAGGCCGCTGCAGTGCATCTCAAACTACAACTGCACCGGTGGTACGGGAAATTGACTAAAATACAATAAATAGAGATAAGTAGGTATAGGTACATTAAAATAACAGCCCGACCGGTGTACATATTATACTTTGTAGGTCGTATGTGTACTCCATTGACGGGAAAACGAAATCCTGAGCACCACCCCCTTCCCACCAACCTGAACCATCCTTCGATGACAAGGAAATAATCGCTGGCATTAACTTGTCTTCAGAGAGAAAATGAAATGCGTATAATTTTCAAGACGTAAAATGCAATCCTCTAGATCGCCAAGATATCTTTATTGCTATATACAATATACTTAACGCTATACTCCCTCCCTTGAATCCATTAAAATAATGTATTTATTCAAATTCTGTTTTAGGAATGACTATTAGAGACCATAATATTATGTATTTTAAAATACTTATGGCCGTATTCATATAGTCGATGATAAAGAGCAAGTATTGCTTACTCTAATTTTGATAATTTAAAAAATAAAAAAAGTGGGCAAGTGGATTTCGCTCTGCGGTACAGTAGGTTACAAAAATCCAAACACAAATGTTACAATTGGGTCAATGTATAAAGGATTGTATTAAACTTGAATTCAATGATATAATATCATTGCAAAAGAAAAACGATTCTGAGCGAAGACGGTTTGTCAGTCTGGATATTCTTATTATTTATTATATCCTGTGAATTGAATTTATTTTATAATAGG